CTCTCTCTCTCTCTCTCTCTCTCTCTCTCTCTCTCTCTCTCTCTCTCTCTCTCTCTCTCTCTCTCTCTCTCTCTCTCTCTCTCGCAAGTGAACCCAAACACGCCGAACGTCAAAACACTGAGCTCCACCGGACCCAAACACACCGAACGTCGAAACACGCCGAAGCAGACGAACGGCGCGATCACACTCTCGGGGATTGGCAGACTCTCGAAAGTTCTATCGGGCCGTCGGCCATCCCCCGTCCCGAAAACACCGCCCCCCAACCCGGAAAAGTGGCCGCATTCAAACAACAAAAACGCGCCCCGAAAAAACGTGCCCCGCCGCGCCGCTCGGTTTCGCCTGGGCCCGCCCACAGGACGCCCCGAAAAAACGTGCCACGCCGCGCCGCTCGGTTTCGCCTGGGTCCGCCCACAGGACCCGAAAACGTTCCCAACACTGGCGGTTCGTGGGAGCGTCACGCGAGTTCCGCTATTCTCTTAAAGAAGGTAAGGGAAATTATCTGCTGGAGGGTCTATGCAAATCCCTTACTAGGTGGAATGGAGTGGTTCCTTGAAGGCTTACCTGAAATATGATAAATATTAAAATATCTCACTTTGATCTTCCTCCTCCTCCTCTCCTCCTCTCCTCCTCTCCTCCTCTTACTCCTCCTCCTCCTCCTCCTCCTCCTCTCCGCCTCCTCTCCTCCTTCCACTGCTCTCTTTCGTTGTCCTCAGTCACCATCGCAATGATCATCATTGGTCCTCGCTCCACAACTCTCCCGCCTCCTCTTCGTTTTCTCACCCCCTCCTCTCCCTGCTCCTCCTCCTCCTCCTCCTCCCCATCCCCTTCCTCCTCTTCTTCTAAACATCTTAGAAACTTTTTCCAACCTTTTTTTGTTGTTGGGTGATTGTACAGATGACCATCGGGAGGACCTCTGTCGCTGGATCAAGGCTTCTGGTGGTTATTGCTCGGCGTTTGATTACACTACAAAGGTCAGTGTTTTTTTTTTTTTTTTTGTCCTTTTTTTTTTGGGTTGGTGACTTAAACATTTGTCCCTTTTCTTTTTCTTGTTTTCACTATCCTGCAAGAAGCCTATGTTGTTGTTTTTTGTGATGATTCAGCCTGATTGTATAAATCAGCTGATCCTTAAGCCGCCAGCACATTTCACAGCCATTTTTTTATGACACCGCTGCATGCTCGTCATGTCTGACAGGATGAACAGGCATTCGATTCAGATGCGGGGCCCGTTTTGCCTGGATGTATCTTTTACGAACTGTTGTGCCAGTTGTTGAAAAATGACTGGGAAACGTACAGGTGGTTTAAGCCACCAGCGGCTCCAAGCCCCAATGCTGGATTTCACCGGGCCCTGGAATACTGAACTGTTGTCCGGGGGCCGACTAGGCCAGCTGGTGGGATCTGAATCTGTGCCATGATTGGTTTTTCTTCCCGTATTCAGAAGCATATAGGGGTACGGTAAAAAAAACAAAAAGAAGGGTAGGGTAGGGTGGGGTAGGGGAGGGGAGGGGAGGGAGGGTAGGTAGGGTAGGGTAGAGTAGGTAGGGTATGGCAGGGTAGGTAGGGTAGGGTAAGGTAGGGTAGGTTGAGGTAGGGTAGGTAAGGTAAGGTAGGGTACGTAGGGTAGGGTAGGTTGAGGTAGGGTAGGTAGGGTAGAGAACAACACGCCAAAAAGGGGGGTAGGGTAGAGTAGGGTAGGGTAGGGTAGAGACGAGCACTCCAAAGAGTCATAGTAGATTGACAACACTCGCATACAATCGAAGACCTTTTTTTTTTCCAGATTGTTTTGCTCAAGATGATGAGAGGCAAAAATTTTCTAGGAAGTACCTGCTGAGTCTATAATTACAGTATCGCTATCTCTATCTCTATCTCTATCTCTATCTCTACATCTATCTCCTCTTCTTCTCTATACTAAAAAACTGCAAAGGGCCCGACATGACGCTTCCCAGCGGGCCCAGGGAAAGCGGTCCCAGGGAATTCGGTGCCGCAGTGCAGTCCCTGTACTACAGTCTTCCCCCGAATACAATGTAGGGTCATTATAGCTGAATTTAGACCGAAAGATACACCAAATTCAGATATGATGACCGTACGTTGTATTCGGGGGAAGACTGTAGGGAAAATTGGTGCCGCTCTGCACGGGGTTGGGAGCAAAGCGCACCGTTTCGTGTGCGTGAGTGAGGTGCTTGCGCGCGGTGCTGGGAGCCAAGTGCGGCGGTTCATTTTTTGTCAACGAGGTCACGCGGGGCTGGGGGGACATCCTGCGAACTGTCAGCGAGGTGTCGGTGCACAGCGCCAGGGGCCAGGTGCAGCGGTTCACCGGTCGGCATTGTCTTCGTAGTCAGGGGTGAGCACCCCGTTGGTCAGCAGTCGATGTCTAATGGACAGCGCGGTGGTCGTTGCTCACAAAGCCGCGGTCTGTGTGGCTCGTGTAGTGAGGGTGAGACGGAAAGATGATGAGCACGAAGGTGCGATTGCTGTGTATAAATTTGAGACACGCGCACAAACACACGCAAAAAAAAACAGAAAAAAACAAATATACTATGCATGCGCATAGCTGCCGTCCTCCTCGAGAAACGGTCGGTACGGCCGGTTCCCTGTTGCGGACTTCCTGTCGACCGTGCGTTATCCTCTCTCTCTCTCTCTCTCTCTCTCTCTCTCTCACTCACACACACACACACACACACACACACACACATGCACAGATATGAAGCCCGATTCGTTGGCACATACATGCAGGAAAGAAGTGTAGATGTTGAGTAGATCGTAAGGCAAAGGTTATCGCATTTTGGTTTTCCACTCTGTCTTTTTTTCGGCCTTGTTGAATATGCGCTGAGAGAAAGATTATGGCATTTCTTTTTTCCACCTTTTGTGGTTTTTCCAGCTTTTTTTTTTTTTTTTTTTTTTTTTTTTTTTAAGGMAAAAGCATTCAATTCATTCCAAAATCAATATAAAAACGAGGCCGGGGACCCTCACAATTCAACCCGGAGTTATCCTGGCAGCCTCAGCCAGTTTCGCTTAACTCTGTATCATTTCTCAATATAACTCCTCAAAAGGGCCTCAGCCTGATCCTAAGTCCTACTTCCTATGTAACTTTCAGTACTTACCCTTACACCTACTCCGAGCTAACCACTACTTCACTATACTGCTACTTCCACAGACCTACAATCGGTCTGTCCCCGGGCTACCACGACCGGGAGGAGCGCAAAGCAGCGTTCCTTAGACCCCCCCTGACACTCTCCTTCCCTCCCTTTCCCGTTGCAGCCTACTGCGAGTGCCGACAGAAACCGAGTGTCCTGGTTTATAAAAGAAACGACTCTTCCCTATACTAACCCTGTACCACCTGTGTAACTATCCTCCTGTGCCCAACCACTCTGAGAGGACCAGACCTCCCCTTGGAGATACAGAAGCAAAGCAAGATCCATTTGCCCAAGTCTTCAAAAACCAGTTCTTTCCCTTCTCTCCCCCCCACCTTTTCCTGGTACGCCGCCAGTCTGCTCTGATCTCATTGGCTAAGTGGTGCTTAAATAGGTCAAAGGCCTGTTTATCTGCCCATTCACTTCTATCAAATACCTTCGCATTTCTGTCCTTTTAGATGAGCCACATCATTACTGCTCTTGTAACTTGCGCCATATAGCCCCAGCCCACTTTGCCTGTGCATCCTTCCGGCAGCGCCCCTGATAGGACCCATCTCTCATCACAGAACTTATTTCTGCCGGTGATCTCTTTCCAATTGAAGAGCCACCATTTCCACAATCTTTGAGACTTGGGACAATCCCATCATAAATGTTTTGCTTCCTCGTAAATCCAGTTACATCTTACGCACTTCACATCGATCCTGTCCATACCCCTGTTTCTTAGCCACCCCGCTGTGGGAACAGCCAGGTGGGATTGAAGCCACAGTAAAGATGCCAACTTTTGGGACAGTATTCTCTTCATCTGATCCCACAGCTGTTTAAGCTCACTCTCCTTTGGTGCTGGGATACCGTGGACTGTTCTTTCCCATCTTACAGTCAGTTTTTCTTCCAGGGTTTGGCTCTCCCTTTTGTTACAACAGGCGGTACTTTTCCCCAACTTCTCTAGTCCCACTATATCCTTACTACCATCTACCCAACCCCAGGCTTCTGAATCTAATCTAAGTTTCTGATAAGTTCTCCCAACTCCTACAATCATAGGCATTTGATTATTCCTTTCATCCATCCTTACTCTGCATTCTGCCAGGCCACCGAGCCCATATCTCTCCCTTTCCCTTTCCCTTTCCATCGATTTCACGATTTTCTTTTTTTTAAGAGTCCGAAAAAAAACAGCCGGCTGACTTCTCCACCTACCCATATGATATGTGCCATGTGATCGATTAGCGCAAAAAAAAGAAACGAAACTATTTTGTTGTCAGGACCTGTATCCTGTTGGCCCTTCATTCCAACAGTGTAAGCGTGCGCTGAAAAGAAGCGCGCATAGTATGCATGTGCATCACGCGTGTCCTCCTCGACATACACTTGGTACGACTGCTTCGCTGTTGCGGATTCCATGTGCACCGTGCGTTATCCTCTCTCTCTCTCTCTTTCTCTCTGTGCATGTTTCTGTTTCTCTGTTTCAGCGTCATGGCGTCCCCGGTATCATGACGTCCCAATCTGCTCGCCGCGACCCTCTCTCTCTCTCTCTCACACACACACAC